TCACTATTGCCTGAAGCACACTATTTATTACTTTAAGGTTGCTGGAATTTCTTATCAGTTAATTCTAAGAGTATTGAATGCTTTAATGCATTAGAAACAGACAGTGAAAGATAGATATGGGCTATCTTTATTTTCTCAGAACCATTTGACTCCTTCAATAACATGCTAAGCCCTCATGCTTAAGAACAGAAAAATTAAAGAAGCACTTTAGCACTTGGTAAATACACTTCAGTTTGGGGAGGCAGACTGTTGTATTAGAGTAGTCAAAGAATAACTATTGGTACAATCGTGTCATAAATTTCCATTCATTCACAACTCCAGAATTTGCAAAATACTTCAGATTATTCTTTAATTATAATTTATATATATAATTTACTATAATTTGTTAGAGTAATTAGTTTTATAATAAATAGACTTACCAACTAAATGGGTCAGATTTCCTGGAGCAATAAACCACAGACTTCAAGTAGGTAGCCATTTTTAAAAAAGAGAATTTGGAAAACATATTTGGGGGCTTATTTTGAGATAGAGGCACTGCAAGTTCCAGGGGAGCATAGGGAGCTGGGGTCTGAACCCCATTCTGCTGCATACAATGCACATGATCATCCTCCAATATTTGCTTTATCTGCATATGGGATTACCTAAGTAGGGCAGTGATTCACGTATGTTACTCATCATAATTTGAATAAATTCTTAAGTTTCTTAATATGTATCTCTTATACCTTAAGCCATACAACCATACATACCATACAACTAACTACATAGCAAATATTGCTTTACAGATCTACTAGATATTTCTCTCTTTATCTCTCTCTCCTTCATTTTTTTGAACCACATCAGCAGTGCAAAAGGCTTATTGCTGGTTCTGTGGTTAGGAATTACTCCCAGAAGTACTCAGTTTAGGATAGAAAAGGAACTACTATGACAACTGACAATGATACTTGGAAATGATTATAACCTTTCAGTACCTGCATTGCAAAGCAAAATGCTGAGAAAGAGAGAGAGAGAGAGAGAGAGAGAGAGAGAGAGAGAGAGAGTGATGCCTGTCAGCCTGTCATAGAGGCAGGCTGGGGTGGGTGTGGTTGGCATGAGAGAAACTGGGGACATTGGTGATGGGAAATTTACACTGATGAAGGGAAGAGTGTTGGAACATTGTATGACTGAAGAACAATCATGAATAATTTTGTAACTGATGAGAGGAAGAGGGGGGGGAGGGAGAGGTGAGGGGGGAAAAGTGGAGGGGAGGAAGAGGAGGGAGAGGAAGGAGGAGGAGAGAGAAAGAGAGGTGGTAGTGGAAAAGGAGGAAGATGGGGAAGTGATGGAAGAGGACGAAGAAGGGGAGAGAGAAGGAAGGAGGAAGGAGAAGGAAGAAGGAGGAAGAAGAAAGAGAAGGAGGAGAAGGAAGGGGAGGAGGAGAAGAGTAACAACAATCCAAAGGATGATTTGCAGTTTCTAGATCAAACTGATTCCTTTCTCATTCTCAATTCTGTTCCCCAGTGGGCGCCCCCCCCCCTCCCACACCCTGCCTGGAAGGACAGAGTTAGCATAGCCGTTGAGCAGAAATGCCTTTTCACATTATTGTTCAAGAACAGTATAAATGGGCCCCAAACTAATCTTTCCAGTTTACCAAGATCAACAACTTCACATTATTCACCTTAGCAATAACAAAAAGGGAATATAAAAGTTGCCACATGGTGCTGCAAAATAATGTATTAGTTAACTTATATGTAAGGTGGCTTCTCTTATCGAATCAAAGACCTACATTATTTTTAAAGAGTTCCATTACTTAGGTTTTACTACATTATGAGAGCAGAATAAAACTGCTTTTAGATGTTCTGCAAGTCCTATTCTTCCAAATATATATAAAGATTGATACTATACCATGTAAATGTATAAAGACTAAATAACAACTAAATAAAAGGCACCCAAGTAATGGAGCTTCATTATTAAATATTAAAGCATTTTGTATAGCTATTATTATATTCAGATCTTTTTGACTACTAGAATTTTCAGGTAAATAAAGTTCATATAACTGCTAAAATGAAAGTAACTCCAAAACAACCCCATAAAAGTGCACAAGTTTGTGTGTTTATGTGAAGTTAATGGCAAAATATTAGAAAAAGGAATAGCACATTTTAATTAGAATAGTAAAACCAGAAAAGAAAAACAAAGTCCACGTGGTAATGGATGAAGTTATAATCACTCTGTCTTTAATTTAATTCTAAATTAATAAGGTGTTATTAATTTATATAAAAACATTTTATAATCAAAAAGCATAGCATTGCCAATAAAGGAATTAGAATTCTAGACATAATAGCTTATATCTAACATAAGCCAATTATAAACAACCAGAACACTGATGTAATATTTGATAAATGCAGAGTAACATTTACAAGTCACAATGGAGACCACCAGGCTTTGCAACTTGCAGCTTTCAGTTAGCCTTACACTCAAAAATAATATAAAAGATACATTTAGGGACATGTACAGGATTATCTTAAAAGATAAATGCTGGACAAATGCAAGATGTCATGGGTTTAACATACCCTATAAATATTTTGTTCTCAAAATACGTCTCACTTATTTTATAAATGGTCAATGTTTGGAGATCTCAGCCATAATATATACAACTCAATGTGCAAACCTAGAGCCATCTAGCCACGCAGGACTAATTAACTATCACATTGTATCATTTATCATTCACAAATTTCACTCTGGAGGTATGTGTGTAAAATTTTAACCCAAACAGGCCCTGGCAGCTCATCACAGCTTCTAAAGCACAAAGTCAAAATTTTATCTCTAGATCTGCTGAGAAGACAGATCTTTTCATTAAACTTGGTTGCACATTACCCAGTATGCATTACCCAATGCTTTCCTATTCTTTATATAAACTACATGTTTCCCCTTAAAAATCCTGAGGTCAATGAAGATACAGAAAGTGAGAAGAGACAGCCACAGACGCCCAGATTTATTTCTCTGATATTCCAACCAAGAACCACAGAGGGTAAAAAGTTTCACTACAGATATACCTGATCTTGGTATCTGCTTATGGAATAACGATGCAAAGCAGAAGTAGGCCAGTGCGCAGCTTCTTATTCTGTCTAAAACGGAGTGAAGTGACGCACCAGAAGCTAAGAAGTGTGTGCCCATGGATGCAGAGCTTTGATTGACTGCCTTTCTGCTAATCCTCGCTAAAGCAGTAAATACATTTCTCTGCTCATGAAGCTTTCCCACAGCCCCCACCTTAGAAATCTCCATGACTATAAAGCACACTTCTGCCAAAAGGAACATGCCCACATTTGTTCATTTTTTAAAGCGCCATAATGTTTCTGATGAAAACACAGGCTGCCAAAGATGTCAAATAAAAGAATAACAGAGAAACCAATGGCATCTTCAGACTTGAATTTAAATGTATAACCTCACCATCTGTCAGCCAGTTGTGAAGCAAGGATCCCAGAGAAGCCCTGCCGGCACTAACAAGTTTTATCCTCGCATCTATTTTTATCAGTGTCCGCTTCTAGGACCTCTGCTGAAATTCTGTAGGGGGACCTATGCAACTGAATTTGCCACTGGCAACCATCAGAACCCTACAGATAAAAGGTCTATTTTAACATGCATTTTTGCATCTGTAACCCAGGCGGATTTCTGCTGGTGGAGTAAGGGACAAGGCAAGGAAGGGCCAGAAAGCTGGGGGAGGCTGGCTTCTTTCCCCACTTTGGGATTAGAAATGGAATGGAAGAGGGTTCCTCTGCAGGCCACCAAACAACACTTCATCTCCTCCCACTTGGCCTTGGAAATAGGATTACCATCTTGGACCTGGGCTCTGTCCCACCCCTTCCTGCTCTTGCCACCTCCACCTCCCAACTTACAAGTCTGTCCTCAGCTCTGGAGCTACTGGGGGTGCAGAGTCTCGGTCCCAGAATCCGATTAATTGCGCAGCGGGCTGGGACTCCTCTGCTAACCTACTGCGCAAAGCTACCAGCCCTGGGAGGAGGACGACCCCCTCCACCCCCCACCCTCACCTCTACCAGCACAGCCCTCGCCCCCGCCTGAAGCACAGCCAGAGTTCGGCAGTCTCAGCCCTGACTCTGCCTCCTCCGCTGCTTCCGAGGCAGATTTCAGCTCTCTCTGAGTGCTGTAGGGTGGCGGCAGGGCAAGGCGGGAGCAGGAAAACACCCCAACAGTCTATGTTCCCAAGAGCCAGGACGCAAGTGACCTGAGGCCCCGGTCTACTTGTACTTACTCACACTCACTCACCAGTGCACACAGCTCCCCAGGTTCAAAGCCACAAGAGAGGAGTGAAGAAGGTGGCTGGATGGGGCAGGGGTGGTGTTGGGAAGGCCCAGAGTGACCAGGTGCAGCGGCCTGAGGAGAGCAGGGGGTGCTTCGCCAACTGTCAAAGTGCCAAAGTCCCGCGGCTCTCGCCGCTCCCCAATGCTGGACTCTGCAGCCCGTGGTCCTGCTCAGCGCCCTTTCAGCTGGGCTCCTTCGGGAAGCGCAGGGAGCAAGCAGATCAGAGCATCTCTCCAGCCCCGGCCAGGCGCCCCTTTAACCCGGGCACCTTGCGGTGGCCCTCCCAGAAACAACTTGCATAGGGGCTGAGAGGATGGGGGAGGGGGCAAGAGGGCAGGAGAGGCACATCTTGGTGCTCCATCCCTAGCTCTTCACTCCCCGGACCGACACACCCCCAGTGTCCCCCGACCCAGGGCGCTACGCACCGACCCGGGCGCGCGCCGCAACCCCTCGCCGCAACGCCAAGTCGTTTGATTACAACACTAGTTGATTTCTCACCAATCGAAAAACAAACCCACAAGGAAAAAAAGAAAAAGTGCAAGAACTCTTCGGAGGAGTCGCCGGAGCAGAGAAAAGTCCGCCGGTGGGGCGTTTTGCTCTAGTTTCCGCGGAGTTAAGGAACCTGGAGATCCCCGGCGAGAAGAGCCTCGGGGACCCCGTGGGGGCAAAAGGCGACCAACTCCGTCCCCACCCCCTGCGTCACTCACCTCCTTAAGTTCCTTGGCCACGTCCTTCAGGTCGCCCAGGACTAATTCCAGGTCCTCCACGATGATCTTGATCTGTTCCTTCACCTTGGTTTTGGAGGCTGCCGGCGGTCCCTCGGCTGCAGAGGACGAGGAGGGGGTCCCCTTGGACTTGGCTGACATTCTTTGGGGGCAAGCGAGGCAGGTCAGCAGAGGCGGGCGAGCGGAGGCTGCTGCGCGCCCCCGTCCCTGGCGCGGCCGCGGTCGCCCCGCTCCCCCCTCATCCTGGGCGCTCGCCGGGCAGCGGCGGCGGCGACTGGCGGCGCTCGGCCCCGCGGCCGCACAGGGGTGCTGCCATCCACTCCCGAGCCGCGGCGCGCGGGGCGCCGGGCTGCAGCCGGCCAAGCAGCGCGCCTGCGCCCCCGCCGCCGCCGCCCCGCGCACACGCGCTCGCTCCCCGCCCGCCGCGCTCCCGGCTCGCTCCCACGGCGCCCGGCCTCTGGGGGGATCGGGGACCGCCCGCGGGGACGCAGCCCCCCGCCCCACCCCCCGCGGCGTTCGGGGGCTGCCCGCGTCCTCCCGGCCTGCGGGCGGCGGCGGCGGCAGCTCACCTCGCGCCCCGGGTCTCCCGCGCAGCGCGCTTTCGGCTCGGTGGAGGGAGAAGAAGCCCCCAAAGCTCCGGAGTTTGCACTTTTCGGGTCAATTCAGAGACCCTGAGAGTCTAGGAGTTAAACACACGTGTTCCGATTTGTGCAGGAGAGACAGAAACAGAGACACCGAGAGAGATGTGCGTAAAAAAAGGCGACTCCCCTCCATCACCATCACCCCCACCCCCCACCCCGCGCGCACCACCCCAATGATGAAATTTAATCAGAGTTTTTCAAACCTGGAGCCTAATCCCGCTGATTCCACAGAGCTAATAGCGGATTTATTCAAGTCAAGTCCCTACGCCAAAAACTCCCCGCCGCCTCCAACCCCGGGCTGTCTGAGTCATGTTGACTGTAATTTTCTGGGACAGTTCGGGTTTGTTTGTTGTTGTTTATTTTATTTTTTCAAGTTGTCTTTCGTGCCCTCTGTGATTTATGCCCATTGGGATGCCTGTCTGGGCTTGGAGGAGGGGCAGCTGCCCAATGGAGCTGGATTGCGTCTTTGCGGAAACTGAGGAGTTTGGCCTCAAGTTTCCCTGTCCTCTGTGTGTGCCTGTGAGAGTGCTCGCGTATCTACTCAAAATCATTTGCTGTGAGTAACTTCATGAGGCTTGTGTCCAAAGAAACCAGGGAGAAAAGTTCACAGGAAACCCCCAGTTTTATTCTCAGTAGGCAGCTGTCATTCTCATTAGCTAGAGTTATAATTCCCTTCCTAGCAAACCCAAGGGCTATTAACTACTGGCCTGGCAGTCTGGCCCGACTTTATTTTCCTCCTCCAACACTACTCCGCAACATTCTTTTAATAATAAGATTCCCCCCTTGGCTTATACCTTTTCTGTGTTCTTGCTTTCTGCTTTCTCCCACCTCGGATTCCTCCTCTGTGCTTCTATAAAGGAAGATACTCCTAGTGGTCCTCTTCTTTTCACTAAGAAGCCCCCTCAGCCACTATTCTCTTCATTTCGAATTATTCATTTTGATATTCTCTTTCGAAACCCATCATTGTGACATGGAAGAAGAAAAAAGACAGAAGAAAATGAAATAGAGATTTAGATAGGGTGTCAAAAAAACAGCTATATAAGTAATATGGGGGTAGGTCAAAAGCAGAGGATACCAGATGAAAAAGGGATGAATGAGAAAAATAATTAGGAGCTAAATAAGTAAGCCCCTTGTGGACAGCAGGTATGAGCCGGGGGTGTGGGGGCGACTAAAACCTCATGGGTCGGGGGGCGTTCGGGTCCGTTCTTCACGCCCTACCGAGGTCACCAGTCGCCCCCCACGAGCGGCTCTCCAGCACAGCCACGGCCCCAGAAGCACAAGGACTTAATGCAGAACCCAGCAGCTTGGAGCAGAAAAGTGAACGGACTATACGTTAATCCAGGCCATCAAGTCTGCCGGAGGGGTAAGGGTGTTGCCCCATTCGCCCTCTCCTCTCTGGAAAGAAAGATGGCGGCCACATGGGAGCCTTGTGGACAGCAGGTATGAGCCGGGAGTGTGGGGGCGACTAAAACCTCATGGGAAGGGGGGCGTTTTGGTCCGCCCTTCACGCCCTACCGAGGCCACCAGTTGCCCCCCATGAGCGGCTCTCCAGCACAGCCACGACTCCAGAACACAGAAACCAATTTCTTAACTATCTGACTTTCAGTAGAAATACTTCCAGGGTCAATAGGTAAAATAGCAGAAATCCAAAACCAACATTTAATTCTTGAACCCAGCTGTAGAAAGCAAATCACTTCACAATGCTTTTTCAGCATGTCTGATTTGGGGGGGGGGGTAAACTCTAAATAATAGTGGTGAATCTTTTATTGAAACAATGAATCTAATCAAAGCAGATAGAGTGTCAACTAGAATTCATCTGCCTCACAGGGACGGGGAGGGGTGGGGGGTGGGGTTTTATTGGGGTTCTTCATGGTAAAAAATAAGTATTGGTAAAGGGAAATGTGTTTGATATTTGCATGACTGAGACCTAAACCTGAAAGCTTTGTAACCTTTCCCACAGTGATTCAATAAATAAAAATAAATAAATAAATAAATAAATAAGTAAGTAAGCCCCAAGAGACCCAGCCAGGGCTGCCAACCTCCACTACCAGACTGCTGCCCCATTCTAGGCCGCTTTCCAAATGCTCAGGTCGAGCATCACATATGAGTGAACATATTCCTGGACTGTATTGCAGCCCCACGACAGATCATAAGACCCTCCTTGCCCATTTTCCATTATTACCATACCATCGCTCCAGCACAGCAGTAGGGCGTTCGCCTTACAAGTGGCCAACATGGCCGACCCGAGTTCGATTCCTCCGCCCCTCTCGGAGAGCCCGGCAAGCTACCGAGAGTATTCGATATGCCAGACACAGTAACAACAGTCTCCAATGGAGACGTTACTGGGCCCGCTCGAGCAAATCGACGATTAACGGGAGGGCCTTTACCTTTACCTTTTACCATACCATATTTGATGGGGTTCAAACAGTAGATAACAAATCATAGAGGGAAATATATATTTATGACTCTCCGAGAGCCCAGCAAGCTACAGAGAGTATCCCACCCACACGGCAGAGCCTGGCAAGCTACCCATGGCATATTCAATATGCCAAAAACAGTAAAAATAACGGGTTTCATTCCCCTGACCCTGAAAGAACCACCAATAAGGCAGTTGTTGGAAAAGACAAGTAAGGAGAGGCTGCTAAAATCTCAGACGAATGGAGACGTTACTGCACCTGCTCAAGTAAATCCATGAACAACGGGATGACAGTGATACAGTGATATAGTGAAATAAGCTGCTTCAAGTCAGGAGAGTAGATGAAAGTGCCTTTGTCATTTAAGGTTCTTTGTTTATAGAGCTATAGTGTTGCGAGCAATAATATCAAGTTTACAAATTTACTAGTAAGTTTTGATCTTAACAGCTATTGTTATTTTATATCTGAGTAAATTTATATGAGCAGAAATGAAAGGAAATTAGTTCATAGATCTAGTACTACCTGAGGCCAGGAAGATACTACAGTCATAAGGCACTTGCCTTGCATGCAGCTGACCTGAGTAATCCCCAGTGCCCTATATAGTCTCCTGAGCAAGCTAAAGTGATCCTGAGTGCAGAGCCAGGAGGAAGGAAGGGAGCCATGAGCATCGCTGGATGTGGCAAAAATATTTTTTTTTTAAAAAAATAACTACCTTGCATGCAAACAACCTGGGTTCTATCTCTTGTACCATGTATCTTTGAGCACTACTACCAGGAGTGATTCCTGACACCATCGTGTTTGTGATCCACAGACAAAATTTTAACAAATAAACAGCCAAGAAACAGTAGGTAATGTGAGGAAAGAGACAGGATATTGCTTCTCTGGATTTGAATATTTTTTAAACTGTCTAAAATAATTGTATTTATTTTAGATGAGTAAGTTGCCATATCTAAATATTTTCCTCTTTTAAAAAGACATGCTTTGTATAGGGTAAAAGTATATAAATCAAAGTTCTCAAGAGTTAAAACAAACAGGGATTCAGACTCTGATGGTGAGCTTGGTGTTGAAACATTTTATGCCTAAAACTCAACTATCAATACTTTGTAAATCATAGTTCTTTAAATAAAACAATTTTAATTAATTTTTTTAAAAGATTAAGTTAAAAAATACAGATCCAACAGGATGTGTGTGGGTGGGAAAAGGAGCAATAAAGAGGTTTATGAGAAAGTGAGAATGGCTATTATCCATAAATTTGTTCTAACAAGTCTGATCCTCATTGTTCTGATTTGTATTTTCCTAATGATAAGAGATTATGAGCAATGTTTCATGAATCTTACTATCTATCTGTTTTATTTGGAGAAGTGCCTGTTCATATCCTCAGCCCATATCTTGACTGAAGTTTCTGTTTTTATTATGGTTGGATTTTATGTCATGTTTGAATATTTTAGATAATCAATTCTTTGTTGGCCATGTGATGTGCAAATATCTTCTCCCAATTAGGTTATATTCTTGTTTGGATACAAGTTTCTTTTGCTACACAGAAACTTTTTCACTTTGATATAGCTCCCTAAGTTCTTATTCGTTTTTATTTCCTTTGCTATTGATATTGATTACCAAACATGGCTCTAAGGCTGGTGTCAAGAAGTATATTGTATGTACTTTCTTATGTGTATTTTAGGCTTTCAAGTCTTATATCCAAGTATTTAAGCCTTTTTCAAAATCCTTTTTTGTAAACAGCATTGGGTAGTGGTCTAGTTTCATCTTATACTTGAATTTTCAGTGGTAAACTTAATGTTCATTTTCAGTGATGCCCACTTGACACATGTATAATTTCATCAGGCAGCATTACTTCAAATTAGCCAACCAAAACTAACATATTGCTGGACTTCACTTCTGGTTGGTTTAGCTATAACAGAGCTGGAGTGAGGCCTGAAATTTTAGGTTGAACAAACTTCTCATTAGAAATTAAAAGTAAAACCAGTGCTGGGCAGAAAACTCAGGGCTCAGAGGCACATGCCTAGCATGCTTAAGGCACCACATCTGATTCCCAGAATAAGATGCCACTTCCCCAAACCACCAGGTGTGGGCCTGAAAGCTCTCTGCATGGGACCTGAGCAGCACTGCAATGCCTGGGTGGAACGTAGAATTCTGCATACATGGCTGAGTATTGCCATGAGTGGCCACTAGTACCCTAAGTACTGCTTAGGAGAACACAGCCTCTTCACCCAATGGAAAAAAAAGTAGAAAACTACAGTTTTAGATTTCTTTTTGGCCTGAATTGGTCTTAAGGTTGAACTCATTAAGAGTCTT